TTGGGGTCGGGTGTGGGAGCGGGAGCGGGATCGGAGTCGCGGTCGGGGTAGCGCGAAGCGGTGGGGGAGGGGGGAACGATTGAGGCGGGGGAAGGTTGCACGGGAGGAGGATGGCGTGGCGCAAAGATGAGGATGACGAGCACGGCGATGACGATGACGTGGCGCGACGACAACGATTTCGACGATGACGATGATGTGGCAAGGCGACGACGTTCTCGACGATGATGACGTGGCACGGTGACGACGATGATGATGACGATGATGACGTGGCACGACGACGAAGCAGGGTGGGTCGGGCGGGTTCGAACCGCTCCGATACCAGTGTAACGAGCGCGAGGCTGAGGGAGACAGGGAGAGCCGAGGGAGAGGGGAGAGAGGGAGAGAGGGAGAGAGGGAGAGAGGGAGAGCACACACACACACTCACTCACTCGACACGACTGAGGGCCGGACGCAGACACAGTGGCAAGGACACAAAGTCGAAGTCTTGGATTCTGAATGCCCAAAACAGGAGCAAGTGCAAGGAAAATAAGCAACAGCGAGATGACAATTCCAGATCACACCATCACATTGAAAGCCAAATAGTCACACCGTGTCTAGAGAGCAACATTGCACCAATAATACACCAATGGAGATTCGTAGCACTGAAAACCAATGTTCATGGAGAGCATACTCTCTCCTCCCAACACAAGAGTCCAGTTCCTTCACACTCACACTTGGCGCTCAGCGCCCAGCCTACTCCTACACAGCTACCACAGACTACAAAAAGACAATGCAACTGTTGACATCAGTGGCAGCCCGAAGTACTTGAAGATGTCGCCCATGCAGACCATCGCCAATACAAGGTACGTGCCCTCACATCATCATCATCATCACCATCCTTCACCTATCCCCTGACTTCACCCACACCTGTCCTCTCTTTCACCCAAAGACCACCCCTGCGCTTCACTGTAGTCCAAGCCCACCAGCTATGGTGGCTGGGCTATGGCGCTGCCCTTAGCAGCGCCCTCCTCCTCTGCACGACCGCACGTGCTGCACCTCGCCTCTCAGCGCTAGCAGCAGCCTACGAGCATGAGCTCCAGCAGCGCTGCCGCCAGCATGCGAGTGACTGAGCATACTTCAATTTCTTGAAGCTTGCCTCACACTCTTCAGTCCACTCCCAAGGGGTTTCAAGTTGAGTTAGATCACACACTATGAAGTTCTGAAACTTCCTGATCCTGACAAGCCATTTGTTGTGACCACAGACGCCAGCCAATATGGCATAGGCGCGGTCCTTGCGCAACAGGAAGGGCCCAAGGTGAGACCGATCGAGTATATGAGCAAGAAGATGCCATCTCAAAAGTTAGCTAAGTCCACGTATGAGAGAGAGCTCTACGCCCTATATAGAGCGCTTGTCCATTGGAGACACTACCTCCTAGGAAGATTCTTCCATGTGAGGTCTGACCATGAGACTTTGCGCTGGATTAAGACACAGCCTGTGTTGTCAGACGCACTCAAGAGATGGATTCAAGTGATAGACATGTATGACTATCAACTTGATCCTATCAAGGGTACATATAACAAAGTGGTTGACGCACTATCACGAAGGGCAGATTATCTGAGCGCGCTAGTTACCGAGTTTGGCATATCTGACGAACTCACTCGATCGATGGTGGAAGCCTATCAGGGAGACCCAGTCATGTCAGAAATCATCCGTAGATTCCAAGCAAAGGACAAGAAGACTTTGGATGAATTTACGATGGTAGATGGCTTGCTGTTCCTTGAGAAGGCAGGGAATAAAAGACTATGTGTTGCTAATAGTGAGTCTTTGCGTAGTTTATTTTTAGGAGAATGTCATGATGCAACTGGTCATTTTGGTTGTAGAAAGACATTAGCGAACTTAGTGCAAAGATTTTGGTGGCCTTCTATGTTAGAAGATGCAAAACGTTAGGACTCAGGCTCCGCTTGGGTTGATCAAACCCTTGCCGATCCCTAAAGGACCAGGCCAGAGTGTGTCCATGGATTTCATGGATACCCTTGTGACCAGCAGGACAGGAAAGAGACACATCTTTGTCATAGTGGACCGCTTTACCAAGTACGCCAGACTGATTGGTATGCCTGAAACCGCTAAAACTGACTTTGTCATCAAACTTTTCATGGATAACTGGGTAAGAGATTTCGGCCTACCTACGTCTATTGTTAGTGATAGGGATGTTCGATTCACGAGCGAACTGTGGCAGTCTATTGCTGAACAAATGTTCACAAAACTCCAAATGACTTCAGGAAATCATCCCGAGTCAAATGGGCAAGCAGAACAAATGAACCGAGTCAGGACGACTGGGACGAGAAACTACCTCTCGTTGCCAGCCTGTACAGCAATGTTGTGCATAGTACTACCGGCATGACTACCAACCAACTGCATCTTGATTGGAAGCCCCGAACCGCCCTAGACTTTCTGCTACCAGAAAGAGAACCCACTGCAGCACCCGGCAGCATAGAGTTTGCTGTCAAGTATGAACAGATGCTGCAGCAGGCCGTGGAACACATTAGGAAGTCTCAAGAGGCAATGATTGCATCTGAGAATAAACATAGACGGCCCTCAACTTTCAGGTAGGCGAGAGAGTCAGGATTAAGGCTGCTGAGCTTGGTCAGGAGTTAGGCATATCCCGCAAGCTAATGCCACAGTTCTTTGGGCCCTGGGAGATCTTAGACATTGTAGGAGATCAACCAGACGGTCCTTCATATGTAATCCGTATCCCACCTCACTTGCGTACCTACCGTGTGTTCCATGCCTCTAAGTTAGCACCCTATGCTGCTACTGAGCAGTTTCCTTCCAGAAGATCAATGCTGCCCCCAACCATGGATGGCGAAGTGGACATTGACCAGATCGTCGAGAATCGAGTGATGCCTGTTCCTCGACCATCAGGCAAAGGGCGACCTCCGAAACCGAGAATGCAGTATCGTGTGAGCTTCAAACATCGTCTGGATCCTCAAGAAGACCGGTGGTTCACACGAGAAGAACTCATGAGAACAGCACCTCAAGTAATCGCAGGCTATGAAAGAGCACTCAAGGGGAAGATGCCTGCAGAATAAGAGACTTCTCAGAGGACTCACGAAGTAAAGGAGGAGGGAATGCGAGGATCAGGGTCCTCGGTCGGCCTATGGGGCCCTGTTTGCAGCCTTACCCGCCCTAAGTGAAGGCGGAGGTGCCCGCCCTAAGTCAAGGCGGGCCTGGCTTTTTGAAGAGGCCCTCGACTGTCAATTTCGTACTTGGGGTCCAGGCAGTTGCGACGCGCCAGTTGGTTGAGCGAAACACAGGCCGAGCAACAAAGACATTTCCATGGCCCTCCGGGCCTTTCCAAAAGAATGCAGGCCCTGGGCGTGATTCGCAGCGTCATACAGAGACAGTTGGGCACCCAACCGAACGAGGCCCAACAGCCCAGTAGCCGCTGCATCCAGGCAGCCTCCTGGGGCCTTCCAGAAGCTTCTGGGCCCAGGCCAGGGCAGCCAGGTTGCGTGAGCAGGCCAACTCTTTCCATAAAGGAAAGAGCTCGGCCCTGGCGATGGGGAAGCTATAGTACTATAGTTCTTCACAAACAGACGATAATAGCCCGTCATCCCCAAAAACGATCTGACCTCAGTAACAGTCTGGGGTCCAGGCCAATCACGTATGCAGGCCACCTTGCATCTTCC